CCTACTTTTGAGAACTGCTAAGGACCAGATGATTTTTATTATATCCTGATACGTAAAACCACAGAACTCAGAGAGGGTGTACTTTCTTTTTCACATGACTGTATGTTTGGTGGGTCCCTGGAGGTGGGCCTTCTCTGCCGTGGTGCCAGTCCTATGGAACATTCCCCCCCACACCTGGTCTGGTTATGCATGCAAGATAATGCTGCTGTAAAAGTGGCAATGAGAGAAAGATACTGGATGGTGAAGAGTTGAGAGAAATATAAAGTTGCAAAGAATAATGAAAGAGAGCAAGAATGGTTTAAAGAGGCAGAGAAATACAGTGTGATTTTTATGAGAAGAAAAAAAGGTCTAAGCAAGGAATCCCTAGGGCCAGCATGAGGATGAAGTTTCATCACTCAAACTAAGTGAATGGAATTAAAAATAAAAATAATTATATGACTTAGGATAAAGTTTAGGATAAATTAAAAATAAAACTATTTATATGATTTAGGATAAAACTAAAATGAGGAAATGCGGAAAGCATATTTTAAAGATTTGTATTTTTAAAGATTTGTAGTGATTTGACAAAGAGTGAAACTTAAATGAAAGCGATAAATATTAATCAGCAAGAAAAATAAATGTTGACAAGGAAGTCATAAATGCTGTGAGAATGTTGAAAAATGTAGGGCTGCAAATATAAATGGTGTAACTGGAAAAATATTAAAATAAGGGTGTGGTTTGCTTGTGGGTGGCTGTGCTACTTTTAAAATGTGTGTATGAAGACTGTGTGTCCACCTGATTTTATTTATTTATTTAAAACATTTGAATAGCTGCCCACCTTAAAGCCAAATTCTGAATGGCTCACAGATGACAGAAGAATGCCATTATTCCCTTATCTACAGCAAAACAGTAAAAGTAAATGTCAAAACTATAATGGGTATTAGTTTGCTAAGTGTATCTGGCAAGATGTTTGCAGAATTCTGATTGGAAGGGTGAAAAAGAGCAAAATTTGGGAAGTGCAGTGTCACTTTATTCCATGCAGTGGTCTAAACCCAGACTTTTGCTCTTCAGGTAATTAGGAAATGTGTGAATGTGAAAAAGAACGTTGTTTTTTTTTAATGTATTTGTTGATATAGAGGAAACATGACAGAATAGGCTTGAATTATAGAATATATTGCATGAATATAGAGTTCAAAATTGGTTGGTGAATACTTACAAGCAGAATATGATGTAATTGTGTGAGAATAAATGGAATTCTTCTTAAATGATTCAGCATTGAGCAGGCAGTAAGATAAGAATGTGTCATATCCTGTTGATTGTTTATATATGAGGAATGCTTGTGGGATTATTAGAGGTGTGTTGATTGGGAATATGAATGTGTGTATGCTGTTACATGCAGATAATGCCAAGTTGTTAGCTGATAATCAGAATGATTTTGCCAACAGGCTGTACCTAACAATGACAAGCACACATCTGAAAATTAATGTTCCAAAAACCAGGCCTAGCAAAACAAGAAGCGATAGTGTCATGAATACATGGGTGATGAATGAATGTGGTGAGTGACCATTACAAAAAAATTACGTCGAGGTGGTTTGTTGAATTACCATTGAATTGCAAAACAAACATATGAAGTAAGATTGAATAGGTTCAGAGGAAGCAGAAGACCAGAAAAGTCATGACTGGGAGGTGTTGATAAAAATCTTCTAGAAGAGAGAAGTGAATAGTTTAAAGAATACACACACATAAATACACACAGATAAACACATACACATACATTAATCAGAGTATGCACATGATAGAATAATGTAAAATTTTCAAGGATTACAAAGAGTAATGAGAAATATAATGAATGATGCTAATATAAACTGGATCTGTGTCCTTTTTTATTCTTATCACTTTTTAAAGCTATTTTTTAGCTTTAATGACTTTTGTGTGTTTCTGCGTCTCCCTTTTTTCCTGCCCACTTCATGAAGCTTACCCTGAAAGAAAATAGTATGATGGCTCTTTATCTATGTATATATGTCTATAGCAAACTGTAGACACATATGTTTGGTAAATTTCCTACTATTTAAGAGAATATTCCTTTGCAAATAAGCTCTCTGTGGCTTTTTCCTGAGACTAAATTTCTCAAATCAACCCACTGGCTGGAAATTCTGACAACCTGAAGACTACTTTAAGGCCTATTCTTGTCAATTCCATGCAATCTCACCATATGTTATACAACAGTCTTTCTCTGCTTTTAACCTTTGGGGGTTATGTTTCAAGACTGATAACAGATTTCAGGTCTCCTTATGTAGGTATTCTCTGTTCAGGTTTCTCTTGGTTTATAAAAATTGCTTGTTTCCCAGTTATAGCTTTTGTTTGTGTTTAAACCATGAACTCTTCAATTTTCTATTATGCTCTGACTTCTCGTTTGTAAAAGTGATTTTTTCGTGTTTTAAAATTATGGTTAGAACCTTTCCCAATCATGCTTATTTTGGACCTGCTAACAATTTATCCAGATTTGTCCAATCTTTAAGCCTTGCTCAGCATCCTTAATTGCTGTGGGAGGATTCAGAATAAGCCTATCTACAGTAAATATCAATATCTTCTGAGCAGGATTCTAATGAATTGTTACACTTCCATGCTATCCCTGCAATGTTCAGCACAGTTTTCAGCACTCAGAATATGGTCTCATGGCTAATTTATGATGTATTCTTGCTTTTAAATTCTTCAAGGCAGGTAAGGAGTATAAATGAATGGATGACAGTTTTGGAGGGAATAAAAATGGAATGGACAAAGCTGAACTGCCACTTTCTGCATGCCATCCCTTCATTGTCACATTGTATCTCATTGTGCTGACCTGCTTCCTTGCCTCTGCTAACTAGCTAATTAACATAGAGTTATGCCAGCCAGCTGAAAACTTCACACTACAAAGTCCTCCCGAGGGTAAAATTGTTTTTTCCAAAGGGGTCAAAGTTGCTAACCACATACCCGAAGTCCCCCATCACCAAGAAACCAGGTACTAGAAGCCACAAAACTCCATATTGCATAAGAATGACTCAATGCTTAATTTTGCCCCATTGAAGTAATGATGAGAAAGACCAAGCTCACCAACCAATAAACAGAGACAGTAGAGCCCAATGCCCCACAGGGGTTATGTCAGTGAATGACTTAAGAATAGCAAAAGGAGAAGTAAAATCTTACTTGTTAAACAGGTTTCGAAAGTAGGAGTAGGAAACTTCCTACATTGGTTCAATACAATTTAGGTTGTTTCCTGAACAATTTGTGTTATTCTTTCCTAATTTCTGCTAGCTCTCCCTAGCAAGTACAGGGGACATGTATCAAAATTATTGTTAGGAACCTATTAGAGATATTTAGCTGAAGCTTGGCATAAATAATCATTGCTATTTTCACCAGATTCTTCCCCAAAATGAAATAGCTACAGAATGTAGCTATTTATATCCTAAGAATGATTTTCCCAATCTGAACTCAGATCAAGAAAGTTTGCTTCTCAGTCATAAACATGAATCATGCATCTCTGATCTAAATCAAATCAAGGCTGATTTGCAGACCTAAAAATCATATATCTGATTGCTTGACAGACTGTCTAAGGTTAATTATCATACAGGAAAATATTCCATTGCTCCTCTCTTTGACATGATATATGAACCTGGTTCTTATAATTGATTATTGTGGGATATATTTCTATTTATAACTATCATCTTTGCATTTGATGTATTATGTTTGTTTGTTTTTTTCTTATACAGTTCCACCTGTCATAAGAGTTTTTCCTGAAAGCCAAGCTAGGGAACCAGGAGTGACAGCCAGTCTTCGATGCCATGCTGAGGGTATTCCAAATCCATTGCTTGGTTGGTTGAAGAATGGAATTGATATAACTCCAAAGTTATCCAAACAGTTAACTCTTCAAGGTAAAGGAACATGTTGAAATATTATTTTCAAAAAGACATGTCTGTCTAATACGTATTACAAAGGCCTCAGAGAGCAATATGAAAGTTTATTTTCATGTAATTCAGGTACAACCTTGAGTAACAGGTATGATAAATTAATCTACTACCTCAGAAGTAAAATTGCCACCTTGGAGGTCTGCTAAACAAGTATATTTCTTAATTATTTCTCCATAGTTCTTTAGGGGTATATGTAATGGTCTTTAGAATGGTATGATATTTGGAATTGACTCCAAATTATTCTGCACTCAGTTACTTGAATTAGCTATTGTTTGTTTGATTGATCAATGTAACCCTGCCTTTGTCCCAGGAGATAAGGAGGCATACAGGGCAATTCCTTTTTCCCCTATAAAAAGAATTTTATGGCATAGGATTAGCTGAAAAATAGTGACTGTTTCAAACTGACCATCCATGGCTGAAACTAGACCTGAATGTGGGTCTCATCCTATTCAAGCACTTTAAACCACTATGCTACACTGGCTATTGGTATTGTAAGAAAAATCAGTGTTCTTATATTTCCTGTATAGGCATAATCATTTTGGGAGGTTTCCTGGCATGGGCTGAACATGTGCCCATTTTCACATACATGACAAAAAATGCAGGTGGCCATATTTTTTAAAATGAAATATTAGCGTATAGAGAATATCTAGAACTCTGTAGCTTCAAGCATGGCATTTATTTAAGAGTGAATTCCAGTTCAGTGAAACTATAAGTGACAGTAATATCTTACTCGAATGGTTTTAGCAACAAACACATCCTCTCCTTTAATTAACAATTTAGTCCACTTAAAAAGCTTGAAGATACTTGACAGTACTAGGAGTTACCCAGCTATCAGGAAAAAAAAAAAAACAGTGCTAAATCTCAAACTATCAGATTTAGGGAGATTTAGTGATATATCGTAAAGATAATGAATAGAGAACTTCCCTGGGAGACCTTTTGAGATACATACTGATGAAGACATCTCAAGATCTATAGATTTTCTAAAAAACTTACTAGTGCCTTTACTGTTTCTCTGTATTATGCAGAGTTGACTGACTTTTTGATAGCCCTTCAGTTCTTAGGAAATTAGAAAAGACTCTTAACTCTTTCATTACTGAGCACCAATAATTTGTGCTGAGCATAGGAAAATAGATCTGTTTTTTACCAATTGCATTTTTATACAATGGTATCAAGAATGAAGAAATAACAGTACTTAATTATGCAGCCTCCCATATATAGAGTTACCAGTCCACAAGAGCAACAGCATTTTCACATGAATGCTGATCATTACAAGCTCTTCATTAACACGAGACAGTCAGAAGATCTGGGCCTTAACTTCTTAGGTATCCTTTTTCTCCTTAGATGATGGCAATAAAACTTGTATGCTGCCTAACTCTCAACTACTCTAGGTGGCTCAAAACAATCAAAACAATAAACTGCAATAAAATCAATAAATGTAAAAGATGGCAAGTGTAACAGACCAGATGGAATGAAGTGGTCTCACTTTTCCTTGCCAAACCAGACCAGGACTGCACCACTCTTCTGAACAGCAGCAGAGTGGGGGCCATCTGGATCTTGGGGGAAATCTCATTCCAGAGGACAGATGCTGCTACAACCATGACCAAGGCTTTCTCAGAACTAAATCCTAGCCTGAAACATGACTGAAATCAGTATAGGCAATCTATTTCCTCCAGGGTTATCATCAGCTGTGGACCAACCACCTTCTCAACAACCTTCCCCCAACAACCTTCTCCAAAAATGGAAGGTTAGACCCTGGTTGGTAGTTGTTGAAAACTGTTGGGTCCAAGAATGGCCTCTTGAGGAGAGGTGCCGCACCATATTGCAGTATTTCAGTTGTGAGTGTAAAACGATCATCTTCTTTTCTCTCTTTCTGGATTTTAAGCTGGAATAAATTTAAAAACATTTAAAAAATGTTAACAAATTTTTTGTTAAAAAAATTTAACAAACCTGAAACTCAGTTCAGAGCAAAAAAATATTAAACTCATATCATAGCAGCATGGACCCTTTTCAGACTGGTCTCAGGCTGGGTTACAGTATTATGAGGCATGGGTCATGCTTGTGGATGACCTCTAGAAGGCTCAGGATGGCTGTGGTGCAGCTGTCCTTGCCCTCCTGCATCTCTTGATGCCTTTCAATATCATCAACTATGGTTTCCTTCTGAACCAGCTTGGGGAGTTGGGAGTGAGGAGTTGTTTGCAGTGGTTCTCTTTCTTCCTCACTGGCTGGTTCCAGTTGGTGTCTGATGACAGAGAGAGAGGTCCAAGCCTAGGCCTGTCTTGTGCAGGGTGTCTCAGGCTTTGGGTTTCTCATCATTCACCTTTACTATCTACACGGAACTGCTGGCACAGAGAGGCCATGCATTTTCATTTAGACATGAGGTTTAGAGAATTTTGAAGGATAGAAGTTTGCTGAAGGGTTCCTATTCCCATTTCTACTTTAAATCTCTGAAAACAACAATAACTAAAAATGCTTACAAAAAATGTCTGCAATGTCTGACTTGATTGAAGCAGTGAATGTGAGGCACCCACACTTTCAGTCAGATATCAATAGTAGAATTCAGCTTTCTTTCTGTAAATCTGGGTTATAAATATAATTATATCATCATTCAAGAACTAGACTATTTTATTATCTCAAAAATATTTTCAGGGGTAGGGGAATATTCTACACTTTTTAAAATAGTATATTTGGTTGATTGTTGTTGTTGTTTAGTCATTAAGTCGTGTCCGACTCTTCGTGACCCCATGAACCATAT